TTCAGCATGTCTAGTATATGATAATGAGAGGAAATCAATTTTGTTTTGCACTCCCCAACTAGAAATAACCTGAAATTAACACAATAAGCAATGTTAACTGTTAAGTACCAATGGTTGGTAATCAATAAAGTCCTCAAGGAAAATGACAAAGTGCAAATCAGAAAGTTCACCCACCTCCTTATCCTCCTCAGAAAGTGTAGGAAGATTAATATGAATTTGAGAGCCATGCAAAGTGAACAGTGATCCAGCCAAAGTGGCAGAGTTCTTAATTACACAAACAACATCATCGCCTTTGACTTCAGATACCTGATCATGTTGACAGCAAAAAACACAACCATGTACAAAGTCATTTCTTCGACATGATATTCAAAAGAAGTCTGCAATAAAGAATATTATGAATTTTATGTGGTAAACCGTAAACTATATTTTCCTAACTGGAAATCCTCCAGACAAGTACATATTCAAATCTCACACAAAAACATGAAATGAAGCCACTATCTAGAAGAGCCATAGTTTTAACGTGTAACTCTGAACTAACTAAACAAGGAGGAAAAGAATTGGTAACAGATGCTAGAAGTTTTCCCTACCTCAAGCCATGCAGAAGTTGATTCACTTCCAGTGAAAAGGTACTGACCCACGAAAATAGTGTCTCCTTTCTTCACAGCCTGCAAATAGTATTAACTTTCTGATGAAAATCACTAAAATCAATCGAAGTTGAAAGGCCAAGTTGGAGAACTATATAATTCATAAAAATTGCACAATTTCAGATGTGCTAGAAGCAATCGATAAAATTGGAAAGAAAAGAAAACGAATATTGAATGAGACGTTTGAATTAAATTAGATTAATTTCTTGAGTATTACAGTTTTGTTAGTGAAAGCCTATTTAATAAGGCATCACAATGACATCAAGAGACCAAGTGCTAACTTCCAACAGCAAATCCAACTAACAATGCCAGACTAAATAACATCGAACTCATTATTACTCTAACAACAAGACAGACTTCATGAAAATAACAGCAGTATGAAGTCGATACCTTTGAAAGTCCTGTAAAGTTAATAGGCAAGAGCTCTGAAGTCGCCTCAAGATCTTGATTGGGTGTAAGGACGACTATGGCATCTTCCTGAAGTGAAATGGATTTCTCGGTTTTATTTATTACTTGCAACTCAGGGCCAACAGTGTCAAGCATAACCTGAAAAGAGCAGAAAGGCTTCGCATCAGTTTTTTCCCATTACAACTATAACATACAGCGCAAAGCTTTCTTGATTGGGTGTAAGGGCGACTATAACTATAACATACAGCGCAAAGCTTCTTGGTGCTCTTAACGGCCGCTTTCAAATTTTCCAAAGTCTCCTGATGATATTCAGGGTTACCCCATGAAAAGTCGAAACGAGCAACTATCACAAAGAAAACAAAAGTAATTGGAATTTAGAAACACAAACTATCAAAATAAGCCACGAAAAGGGGCAGATTCGAAAGGAGAGGAGAAAAAAAAAAAAAAAAAAAAAAAAAAAA